CTGCCTCGGAAATAAGGGGACAACAAAGGGAAGATATTGACTTCTTAATAAAAATTGAGGGTCAGCGACCACACTATTCGTATGGGATATATGCCAATATTCTAACCGTAGTGCATCCCTTCTGTCGAGCTAGCCCTTGGCTGTCGCTTGGTCGGTGTGATCGTTGCCATTGCAGCTCTTTCTACTGATGTCTGCGGATCCAACATTCATCTCTGTCTGGTCAGATTGAGCTGCTCTCTTTTTTCTCGCTGCTTGACGTCGGGACGCGCGTGAAGAGCACATAGAAAAATAAAGGTCCGTTGGTCGTCGCGACGAAGTAACTGAGTGGCGCTGTCGGCCATGCTGACTTGGTCGTAAAAAAGTGCGTAAGACAGCTCTGTAGCTGTCGTAGGATTCCATCATAATTTACGCAAAAATTACGATAACTTCGCTTCGTGAATACGAATTTGTTCTTCGGTTTTGTCGTACGCACAGTTTTGACGTAAGATTGTTTCGTGAATCGGGCTTCTGATGTTTACTCCAGCGTGCCTAGATTTGAGAGCGTTTCCAGCTGCTTGATAGGGGCCACGCGGTTTGTGGGCAACGTTTGCAATGCAAGGAGCAAATGGGAGGCAGAAGTGTCGATCGTCTGCTAGCATCTCCAACCTTCGCTCGGCCTCTTCGTCCGCCCTTTTTCTTCTATCCTCGGAGCAACTCACGCACGCGAATGAGCACACAATCTGCGGAGAAAGTGTCCGCAATTGAATAGTTAAAATTGCCAATGCACCCTTTGGTTTGGGTTGCTTATTTGTTTCCTCGCTTTAATCTAGGCTCTCTGCGGTAAATAGTGGCGTCATCGAGACCCGAAATGTTTTACTATACTAGAATCTACGATTTACATTTACAAATCAGAAAAGGCTTTAAACGATCGTTATCATCTAAATTATATAGATATAAATATATATTTTTTAAAGTTTCAAACCGAAGCAATAAACGACCGCGGTATGCAGAAGAAGCTACCAAAGAGGAAAAAACATTTCCTTCTTTCTTTTGTGTTTCTTTGCGGAAAAGCTATTGTGAGGAAGCGAACGAAAGATTGCTCAGATACATTAAAACGCTTTTTAATTTAGTTTAATTTATTTTGTTTTAATTACCTCAAGGGCATCCGATCGATGCATTGCATGAGGGGAAATTAAAACCAAAACGCATAGTATATATCTCATTGCTCCACAACAACAAAAAGAACAAATGAAAGGCAAAGAAGCGAAACGGGTTGTAGGCAATTTGCCTGCGCTGTCAAAGACCGGCGCAAGTCAAGGAGCGCGTGCTGAAGGTGGAGCTTCTGCTTGATATTGATTAATCAATTGAACAACTTTATTTGCGCCCAGAAATCTAAGAGGAAGGTCAAGGACTCGCCTGGAAGACACCGTCGAAGACACCAAAACATTATTTGAAAGGAATAAACCGAATGTCGTTAAGAGAAATTCCCCCCAAAGCAGCGATTCATGGGGGAGTACGGTGGCAAGCTGCGTGCGCGCGATCTCTGTCGAACTTGGCCGAACCGGGTTTTCCTCCTCTCCCGCGCATATATGCGCTTTGCAGCAGCTGTGTGTAAGAACCGCCGTAAACGACCTTCAGCTTTTGTTTCCTGTTATTCCGCTTACTTTACTTTGTCATTAGCATTGGGGAGAAGATCGAGGAGTGGCGCTACATAGCGGCCACCTCGTGAACTAACGCTGTGTTGCAAACAAACCTTTCGACCGCAGTCATTAGTGCATTCGCTGCTATAAAAGAAGACGACGCTGGGCTCGTGAAAGATTTATGTAGCATTATTCTTTTCTTTTGAACCCATCTAGATAAAAGTAATCTAGTCCCCTCTTGCTTTCGTAATTGAAGTCCTCTTGGAAGGAAAAACAAGCGCATATGTGCAGTGTCTGATTCAGAGGGGGTTCCGTGGTCTAAAGATTTTGGGCAGGAAAGCCGGGGGGGGGGGGGGGGGGGGGGAGAGAGAGAGAGGTTCTCGAACATTTAGTACGTTGAACCCCCCCTGGAAATACCCGCGTGCCGGGCCAGCGACGTCGTGTCGGCCCCGCGCGCTGGATACTACGTAACCTGCGCGGCGTCCGTGTTTTTTTTATGATTTGCAAACCATGTACATCACTTTTCAGATACCCGGACTACAGGCGACAGGAACAATGTTGCTTGGGTGTGACAGCTTTCGATAACAAAAACAGCAGCTACTTGTGTCGGACGACGTGTGTTGCCCAGGTTGGTGGAGAAGCGATTTTTGTGCCTTCGTCAAGACAAAACAAATCGCTTCGATGGCAAAACTGCCTATCAATAGCGTTTTTTTTTTAATTATTTAAATAATGGCATGGAAAACGCTATTGAACAATAATTAAGGCTGGCGTGCAGCTAAAAAAAACATTAATGAAAGTATTTACCGCGTAATTAGTGAAAGCGACTGTCGAAATGGTCACAGCTACGGTCATGAACGTTCAGAAGGTTATTGAAATTAGAGCTGCCAAAACACCGGCTTACATTAAATTAAAATGCATGCCTACTCACCCGTTGATAAAATTTTAATAAAAATCACCCACGAAAGCAAGCGGTTTAAAAATGAAGCACAAAGACGACCGCTCTGATCATGATTGTTGGTGCTTGGGACTTGAAAACAGCCGCTGCCAGACACCTTATTTGTTTCGAAAATCCGCAGGACGTTTATAGGAATGAAGCGATCACATAGCAGGCGGTAAAAGCTAATAGATAGCGTCAAAATTATTCCCGTAAAGCTGTCTCTGGCTTGTCAGAGGGGAGAGGGGGAGGGGGGGGGCAGATTTAGTGAAGCCTAAAAATATATTGACCGCGAAGCTTGACGCTGTGTACCGACATTCGAATAAGAAATCGGCGAACACGGTTGACGGGCGACAAAAAGATGTTTCCAGTGTCTGTTGCCTCAATGTGACAGGGTTGTCGAAAGCACGTTTCCCTCGTGTTGATGGACAGAGTTGTCCAAGTGTCTCCTCACTGTGACAGCGCCTTTAAGCCAGGGCAGCACCGTTTATGCATCATACAAAAGACCATCTGCAAACAGATTCGAACGCAAGTCACAGCGAGATCCTTGCTTCGAGTTCAAGGAGAAAACTTGGCAAGCGCCATTCGAACCACGGATATCGCGGTGACTCTTTTGTATGATGATAAGCAGAGTGACCCTGCAGGAGCGCTGCCCCCAGCAAGGGCGCTCCTTTTCTTGCGCCGAGCTGGGGTGAACTAGAACTGGGAGGTGTGCTGACCGGATCGGCATCTCCATAGGAGCTGGCTGTCGAGTGGCCTAACTCTGCCGCAGGGGCCTGGGGTGGCGCTGCCAGTCACTGCGGTGCCAAGAGGCTGGTCAGGCAGCGTTAGCGAGGATGGCTTGGGGAGTGTTGTTGTTACTATTCTTGTTTGGCGTTGTGTGTGAAGCGATACAATATTCTGTGGCTGATAGCTGTGCCGAAGATACAATAAGGGACTCACAAGGATGTGAATTATGGTGAACACGAAGACGGCGCGGTGCTGTTTTGTGCCAAGGTGCAACGTGGGTCAACATGCAAAGAGAAACACCCCTTGTTCCGGACGCTAAGTGGTGCTTCTGTGTTCGCGAAATAAAATCGTCTAATTCTAAAAAAAAAAAAAAAAAGAACTTAAAGAAGAATGTGTGACATCTCAAAGAAAGCAAATTTATCTAAGTGGGATTGTCTTCAGTAAAGACAGCATTTGAAGTTGCTGCATTTATTTTGCCAGACTTAGTGTTTATTTTCATAGGATGTATGCTCACTAGGTGAAATCAATTCAGACATTTCCAGAGCTATAAGCTTTGACTGAAAATGCAGAAGTTAAAAAACGCTCGCTTTCATCAATTCCTTCTGCACAAAAAAGATTATTAGCACCAGATCAAAAATAGGTATTTAATGGTCTGCAAACTGTAATACTGCCGTAGTATAACGAAAAAGAAAAAAAAGCTTTGATACTAAAGCGGAGAGGAAAGCATGGCATATCACATAATTCTCAAACTTCGCTTTGTTGATGCCGGTGTGTAAGGTGAAATAGACAGTTCTTCTTCCATAGCAGCAAAACGAATAAATAAATAAATAAAGAGAGACTATGTGAGTAACTGACCGCTCCCAAATGATATTTGCGCTTTCAATATGCGCTTCTGCCGCTGGCGCAAGTTACGCGTTTTCGCGGGTGAGAGGTATAGGATGGAACGTAATCTCTCTCACAACCGAGCAGACAAAAAAAAAAAAAAATTAAGAATACGGCAATTTTCACGACGAATAGAGCACCTCTGTTGCGACCGCCAGGCCTCTTTCAGCCGTCATATAGCCACGCTATGACCCTTAGTTCCCTCGCCGGCATGCTTGCACATGGCTGCACTCCCACGGCCGACGGACGGAACGGCACACCTTTCGATTCTTGTACGCCTTAGTCGAGTTTTGACTGGGCGTGCGCCGACGTGTTATCGAAGGCAGAAAGCTAACGCTGGAGGCGGAACATCTACTGAATTCTTAACCTGTCACCAATTAACTGTCAAGTTGATGTATCGCTTTATCCCCCTAAATCATCGATATTTCTAGAAATTATTAAATACTTTTATCTTGATTATATAAAAATTTCTCATCACTGTCGAGTATAAACCTTAATCCTGTTGGTGGAACGTTTTCTCGTACATTTATGTGCAGGTAAATCGATCCTCAACTGTATTTTATTTTTTGTTGGGGGAAAAGGTGGGTCGATGTATCTTATCGTTTTTGCTAGTTTTTTTATAAGAGCACACGTAAAGAACAATTTTTAAATTAATTTTTGCAACGTGTAAAACCCTCTGCCTCTGTGAACTGTGCCCCCTCGTGCTAAGCCTGACAACCCGTAGTTATCGATGTTTGCCCAAACGAACTAAACGGCTAGGGCGCACCCGACCGTTACGCATCCGCCGGGCACCCTCGTCTTTTATCTCGTTGACATTCCAGCTCTTATCCGTTGCTCAGACGGAACCGTCTGCTTGGCAACGCTATCAGCCACTCACAAAGCCGTGAAACGGCGTTGTTCTGCTTCAAAATGGCGCCTTCTTGTCGCTGACGGGAAGCCTTTTGTTGTTCCGTCCCCTCCTCTACGATGCTTCTCAGAGGTTACAAACTGACGTGGGTGTTCCTGTGGCCTGCTTGGTCCCTGTGGTTCATGTGGTGCTTGAACGTTAGCGGAGACGTCGTGTTGACCAACAACGGCTACAAGGGTGTCACCGTCGCCTTGTCGCCCCGATTGTCCGCCGAAAATCTTCCCCCCGAGTTTCTGCGAGACCTGCTCGAGCTCCTCAACTCCGCCTCGCAAGCTGTGTTCAAGGAGACGGACGACCGCGCCTTCTTCGAAGAGGTAACGCTTGTTGTGCCCGAGTCGCTGGACGCCGAGAACTTTCTGAACGGGACGACCATCAAGACGTCTTCAAATCCGAGTTTCAAGTCCGCGCACGTGTTGATAGAGTCTGACGACGGCGCTTTGTTCGGAAGGAGCCCATACACGTTACAGTATGGTCCGTGCGGCACTCCTGGACTCCGCATCGTGCTCCCAGTTTCTAACGTTCTCGGTCAGAATGGAAGTGCTATGGCCCGTGAGTGGTTTCGACTCCGTTACGGAGTGTTTGCAGAAGAGTTCATTCCGAACGACCCGCTCTACTCGGAGCATTCCCCGTCGAAGCAAAAGGTCCTTTGCGCTACTCAAACTTGTCGCGATGTCGTGATGCGCTCCAGTGACTTCAGCGGTATTAACCTTTCACGGGGGTCCCCGTTTAAGCGCGTCAGCCTCAGCATAATCAAGGAAGCCCCTCTGGGGCTAGTTGTTGTTTGGAACGTTGGATCGACGAAAGTTCACGAGGTAGATAAGTACGCGGCGACACAGCGCGCGCTATGGAAATTCGCAAGACTCGAAGCTCCGCATGGCGCAGAATTAGGAATAATCTTCTACGGTACAGAAATCTTCGAAACGAGCGGCATGTTTTTACATATGAGTACGACGGAAAACCGCAAAAAGTTTGCTGAAGGTTTTCCTACAACGCTGACGCGTGGCGCGGACGTGACTCAAGCACTGACAAAAGCCAGGGACATTCTTGCGGCGTCCCATAATCCAGACGGTGGCAGTATCTTGCTTATCACCGAGGAGAATGTACCAAATAGCGATGTGAACGCTGCACGCATTATTCTAGAAAAATCGAATCTGAAACTGAACGCTCTTATTGTTGGACAGCAGGATGGAGGCAACGGTTTAGAAGAGCTTTGCTCAGGTCTGGGAGGAAAGGTTCTTTCCGTTCCCAAGGCCCCAGAAGCTGTTTCTATAACACTGCAGAGTAACGCTATCGCCAGTCTTGTTCTTCGTGGGAAGTCAAGTGAGGAAACATATTCCCCTATAAGCGTCGAAACTGTCGTGGTCGATGCGACACGTTCTGATGAAGACGTTGCTGTGCCAATAGATGTTGACCTTCAGTCTGCTAAGGTGCTCCGCGTGTCCGTCATTACGGAAAACATCGACCGCACCGGTCCGTTTCAATACTCGCTCAAATTATCTTCTCCGCGTGGTGACGCTGAATATACACTTGGGTCGTCCAACCTTGATATGGAATTCCATCAGCGGGAATTTCGTATATCCAGTCCTACTTCCGGGCGATGGACGTTGCATATGACGAAAGTAACGACAGTAAGTAACCCGATCATTGTTGACGTCAAACTTGAGCCCCGCATCATTGAAGACGCTCCTATTACTCTCGACACGTGGCTCAGCTCATCTTTCTCTGACGTTGACCCATCTAGAGCTTTGATACTTTATGCAGAACTCAAAAAGGGTAGTAAGCCGGTGCGCTACGCGACTGTGACGGCAAGAGTGACCGTTCCGGATGGAACAGAAGTTAAGGTGGAGCTCGTTGACAACGGAGCTGGAGACCCCGACATAACCGCAGGGGACGGCATATACAGCCGCTACTTTACCCTCTTCTCCGATAAAGGACGCTACTCACTTTCCGTCGTGGCTCAGGGTTCCGAAAAGACGGTAATCGTTGGTGCTGAACAGCAGGCAGATGATCTTGACTCCCGATGCTGCGGAAGTGAATTTCCGACTACTGGGTCGCGACCTTCTGGGTCCTTCACTCGAAACGTTCAATACGGTTCTTTTTTTGTAATTAGCCAGAAGCCACCCGGAGACATCTACCCTCCCAGTCGTATAGTGGACCTTAAAGTTCTCAACGTAGAAGCCGACACTATGCGCGTGACCCTCCGATGGACTGCTCCTGGAAACGACTTTGATCAGGGCAAAGCAAAGGGTTACGACATCCGGTACTTCGACCGAGCTGTCAACTTTGCAGAAGACTTTGATACAGAAGGAACCAAGATAGATCCTTTCAATATAGACGGCCTCTCCGGTTCTCCCAAGTTTTCCGGGGAAATCGAAGAAGCGTCTGTCTTCAATTTTAAGTGTTCGAGGGGACCATCAAGTTGTTTCTTCGCAATCAGAGCTTACGACGAGGTTAGGAGCGGCCCTGTTTCCAACGTTGTAGAAGTGACCTTCCCAGAACTGACTTCAACCGACGACGCCGACCCGAGCTTTAACCCGCATACCGATGGCAACGGGTCGCTTGTCCAAGAAGACAACGACAGGAATTACGCGCGCGGAGGACTTACTACTTGGCAGCTCGGACTCGCTGTCGCAGTACCGTTGCTCATTTTCATAGTCCTCATCATTCTCCTCGTGATGTGCTTCTTCTTCAGACGAAGGGGCAACGACGACTCAAAAGAGAGTTCTCCGCCACCGCCGACAAGACCGCGACCCATCATTTCGGCGCCGATGCGAACTAAGGAGTCAACGCCAAAGCCAGTCATCAAGGACGAGAACAAGAACCACTACGCCGTCTCCGTACTTAGTGGGAGTACCATCAGCCCCGTCAACTCTTACTCGGCGGGCTACCTCATGGACAAGTACGAAGAGGAAACGAAGCAGAAGCAGAATGGCGTGAAGGCACCAACGGCTCCTTCCCGCTCGGACGTGGGTTCGTCTGACGGAGACACGTCAATGGACACGGCCGTTGGGGAACAGAACTGGTGGACCCCGAGAGCGAGGAACAGCCAGGAGATGGGGCTTCCGCTGAACCCGACTTACCTGGATCGGGCAAGACCTGCCAACAACCTCGGGGCTGCGAGTAGTGGGAACGTGCCCGCCGTACCGCGGCGGAAGCACACCTTTGTCTGACAGTCGCGGCTGTTGTGCTTAATTTACGATGTACATAGTTCCATGGTATTTAAAAACATATCCGCACGGAGTCCTCTTATATTCTAAAATTGAGTGTATTTTTTTCATGAGCTCGAGTGAATAATTACTTTAACTGGTTTTCTTTCAGTGGTAGTTTGTTAACGAGCAGAAGCAGGTTGGTGCCACTCTCAATTAGGCTTTGTATTGAACAACTTGTATGACATCTCTCGTTAATCTGAAGCAACTGTGTCTGAGCATGAGATGAAAGTGTTTTTGACCAAGTGTAGATTTTGCTAGAATGGTTTCAACTCACACCGATACAACTTGTTAACCAGGGTCGACTTAGACGACTTACCGAACTCTCAGTAAGTGGTGTTCGAGATTCATTCACATGAATATCAAAGACCCGCAACACCTCTATATTCACTAAGTCACTCTCTGCGTTTCTTAAACTGTCGGTAACCATATTGTAGTTCACGACCTCACGAGCTTGGTAGCCAATGGGCTCACCCGTAGGGTAATGAGTTACAAAGGTCACTACATATGCATGAATGTCATACAAAGCGAGAGATATCTAGAGACACTAGTATGAGCGTTTAGACAAATTATAGACTCAATGAACGCAGAACCAAGCCGTCACTGATGTGCGTTGCTCAAAAATTAGCTCTACGTCACGGAATGCGATGGGTTTGTTTTATGTAAAATTCGAGGCTTAAGTGATCCTGGCAAAATAACTTGACATGTTCATTTTTTGTTTTAAGTTCGAGTCTATCTTGTGAATTGAGCTCACGTTGAATGGCATAATGCTGTTCTCTAACTTCGCCACTAATTTTGCTCTAGTATTTTACGTTGATGCTCTTTTCTACTCCCAAAAGAGGATACCAATGCGCTTATGAAATTTCTTTGGTTTACTGGCAAGACAAACGCGTTGCATCTTTAATATAGAAGGTAAAATATGTTTGTGTGTTGCAATTTGAAAAATTCTACGAGATTCCGGTCAGCTGAGTGAATGCTAAATTCATTGGTGTTTTATAGTTTTTGTTTAAATGATGTTGTTTAAGTCACAACCAAATTTTAGTGTCATGTGGTGTTGTGTGCATGGTTATATATAGTCATTTTTATCATAGTAACAAAATGTGTGGCGTGCTAAAAGTTAGAGCTTACTTTTACTTCATTCATGCTTGCTTCTATTTTTATATTGCAATAAGCATTTTGTACGAGGGTGCACGACGGTTCCTACAGTGACATCGGTGATCACGAGCTAGCACCTGAATTTGTATATATTGTAATATAACATATATGCACAAGAAACACGTAACTTAAAAATATAATCTAATGATTATTACATCATTCATATTATTTAACAGGGTAAGAACGTCTTGCGTGTTCACGAAGGGCTGTTCAAATGTATGTACCGCAACAAGCGAACACGGTTATGAAACTCGCTGAACTTAATGTCAGTAGAAACAAATAAGAAAGTTGATGCGTATACGCTTTTACAGTGCCAGACGTCGAACGAATCCGAGCGACTCACAAAACGCGCTGGGTGAGCCCTGTAGCACATCTAAGTAATGCAGCTTATTCACCCTTGCCTGGGTGTGACTTGCAGTGACTGGCATGCCTGAATGTGGATGCATTATTGCTTAATTTGCTTACTGTTTAGGACTTTATGATATCTCTTTTTTTCTAACTCCAAAATGTGGTGTAATTGTGTGTGTTTTTGCGTTTCGTTTTTTTTTTTAAGTGTATAGTTGTAACTTGTTAGAGTGGAGAGCTATACCATACTTTGTACGACGATATTGTCGTCGGGAGTTTTAGCTGCTAGCAATGTTGTACACGTTCTTCAAAAAAAAAAAAAAAAAAAAAAGAAGAAGCAAACGCTCGTTTTTCGTTTCTTCTGATTTTTGGAACGCTTTCCTGTTACAATGTTTTTATTCATTAATTATTTATTTATTGATCCCTTAAATGTCCACGTTGTGTTTTACATAAGGGGGCAGGCAGTCTTTGTACGATTCAGGTACACAGTACAAACAGGAAAAACACACAAAGGATTAAACACAAGTGGGCTACAGGCCGTAAAAGGTGGCAATTGTGCTTCTCTAAATTTTGAGATATCCGATATCGTTATTATTGAGCCTGGTAATTTATTTCAATTAATAATAGAAAGCTGTAGAGAAGGGCATTTAAATATATTTGTCCCAGGAAAGAATAAAAGAGGCTTGCGGAGTTACCTAAGCGACGGGTGGTGTGAGATGCAGGTATGCAGTATAAATATCTCTGCAACGGAAGGTGATAGTAACATTTATGTAGAATGGTTAAGACGAATATCGTCCTACGTGTTTTAAGAAAGTGGAGGTCAAGTTGAGTTTTAAGAGCACTGACGCTAGCCGTGAGATTATAATTTCTATGAATAAACCGCACCGCTCGGTTTTGGACTGCCTCTAACATCTCTTCTAGAAATAACTGATGGGGATTCCAAACCGATGAGGCCTACTCCAGCTGGGGACGAACAAGCGAGGTTTATGTTAAACGTTTAGTTTCCTTGGAGGTAAGAAAAATGTTGCGTCGGAAAAAGCCGAGCGTCTGGCTAGCTTTGCTGACAATGTTAGTTACATGGCATTCCCATGAAAGACGGCTTGTTAAGTAAACACTGAGGCACTTAAAAGTTAGAATATTTTCTGTCGTATTACCGGAAAGGTAGTATTGAAAACCTATTGTATTATGTTTTGTAAAAGACGTCATTTGTTTGGTTTTATTTACGTTTATTTGCATCTGCCACTTTTCACACCAAGATTTCATAACGTGTAAATCAACTTGGAGTTGCACCCACTCATATGGGCTATTTAAGAATACACAACACAGTCATCAGCATATAATCTAATTGAAGACTTAATTAGGGAAGGCAAATCATTAACGTAGATAATAAATAACAAAAAGCCTAGCACAGTTTCCCGTTACAATTAAAAAATGAAACGTATCGTTACAGATACGTTACATTTGTATTTTGCTGATTACCATTTTTAGTTACATCACGCAAAATATTTTTTTAACCTATCCCATAAAGTGGCCACATACCAAAGTGAATGTATTGATGGAAGGGCACCAGGAGAAGAATACAAGTGGAAGCATGCAGGGCTTCATTTGTGAGTATATACATCTTTAAAAATCTCAGATTTTAAGCATATTCATGTTTCTGATGGGCTATTCAGACGAGCCAAATGTACTGTTACCCCAAATTGCAAGAGAGTTTTACAGCCATCTCGCGTGTTTCAAGCTAACAAAGTCCCTTGTTCGAACTTAACAACAGTTGTTTCTCGATGTTGCTGTCCGCAAGACGAGCAAGTGAAGGAAAGGGTAGGGCTCTTGGAAGGTCAGTCTTAAGAACTACAAGTCCTTCTTCGTGAAGATTGGATTCGTTGATAAATTTGAAGGTGGGGGACAAGGGAAGAAGGAATAAAGATTAATTTTTGTGTATCTTTAAACGACCATTATTCGGGATACAAGGGTGATTTCGATGTCTGGTAACTTCTCCTTTCGTTGTAACAATAGGTTTCTTTGTGGAAGTTCCGTGATTGCTGCAGTCGACCTTAGATTTGTGGGTGTATGAGGATTCGTGGAAGCAAAGAAAGTAGCTGAGTTTGAAAGTAGCTGTGTCTTTTCATACGACCACAGTTTTACTTTTTGTACCGCAGTATCGGGCATTGAAAAGCGAATCGATGTCCACTAGCTCTCCCGCGCCCGACTGTTACCAAGCAAGGACCGCACAAAATAAACCCTAAGAAAAGTAACCAAAAAGTTAACGAGATCCTGCTCTTCGTAAAGGTATTGTTAGTATACTTTTAGAATTTCTTTCTTAGAAATAAAATACCATATTACCCCACTGGACGGAAAAAAGGAACGCCGTTCCTTTTTCCGTTCCAGTAAAGATGCAACGAGGTCCCGTTCCAGTTCCAAGTATCAAAACGGAGCGGCGGCGTTCCTTCGTTCCTTTTGAAAGGACGCGTTCAAGGAACGCCGTTCCGTACAACACTGGCTGCCAGATTGACGAAAGCTTTGATGCGAGCTCGGCTTTCACAAACACATTTTTAAAACCCTTTGTTATTTCAACCTTTAGAAAATATTCAGGCACATTTGCTTTGTTGTTTTACGAGCACTGCACTGGGATGCGGCTGCCCCGAGCAAAATAAATACTATAACCAACTGCCACTTGAGAATACACTGGAACCCATTCGAATGCAGTTGGCCGAAGCGTACGATCCTTTTCTGTGTACTCAAGGCTGCTCGCTCGAGCATTTCACCACCTCTGTATATTTTCAACTCTCAGGAAATGTGGTGCTGAGGTGCGAAAATCCCATACTCCCCACGTGAAACAATATGATTAAGTTGCTGATAACGCGTCGCACATAACTGACAAAATTAAGAATGGTTACACGTCACAAACCTTACCGCCTATATTGCTGTTCTATATCGATTATCCAGGTGCTCGCCATTGTTACTGACTTATTGTTAGCGAGGTCGTTGCACACAAGACTAAGGTTGACATTTCTGCATTGTTCTAGAGACGTTGCGTGTTTAGCGCATTTCGTTTCCTTTTTTTTTTACTGGAAGTTTATTTGCCTATAATAATCGATATCGGAAATACGACACGCAATAAACGGACTTTATCCCCTAAACCTTACCCGAGCCTTTGTATCTTTGTGGACCATTCAAGGTATGTTTTTTTCTGTATTTGCCTCGCGAGTGTACCGCACACTTAGCGTATACGTTTATTGTCTTAATCTTGCGATCGTGAAGAGATACGTCTGCTAGCGCATACGCCTAACGCATGATCGTACTTGTATCGCACAGGAATGACTCTTTTATTATAATTATAGTCGCTGGCAACTTAAGAAGCGCAGGGCGTGGCGGGTCCCGAACGTGTTATTACCGCTATACAATAAAAATGCGATATTAGGCGATATTAACGACCGAGTACGAATCGGGCGAAGCAAACAGCGTGGACTCAATAAGCCACGGTCCTCCGTTCCTTCTGACGTTATCATGCCTGATGTCACGTCACGGCACGACCAGCCAGGCATACTTGCGAAATTCGGCGTGAAGTTTTGTATTGATGTTCATAATTGTTTTAACGAATATTGAAGCGTCTTGTAATGAAATTATGTATCACATCTGATTATATTAGGCCCTGTCTACGCGGCCAGCGCAAAAACTTTGTAACTTCCGGACAATTCCTTTAAAAAAACACTAAAACAATTTTGTGAAAAAAAAAAAAAAAACATTAACTGTCTTCATTTGACCTCCAGGATCACGAGTATCAAAATTATATTTCAGATTGATATGCCAAGTAGCCACAACAGCGCTTTGAAAATATCACTGAAGCCCCGCCTCCTTCCCGTCGCGTTCGTTGAGAGGAGGGAATCGTGACGTCACGCAGAGTTCCCAACATTCTCGCGCTTTCCACAATTTCGACCCAAGCAGTCAAAAGCGCTGCACACGCGTTTCCTCACAAGCTACACGCGCAAGGCAGTTGAAACCTCTGGGTATGACGTCACACCTGGAGGTTAGTTTTTCAGTTTTTCTCACGTTCAGTGATACGTTCGGGTCAAATGCATGTGATATTCGAATTCACGGGACAAAAAATACTCAAAAATTCATCTTTATCTTTTTATTTTTTAACCTTTTCAGCTTTTCTTCAAGTTATGGCGGCGACACGTGCGTGAACCGCTTAGGGATATTGGTCTATTTCGAGCGCGACAGAAATGTTAATGCTTTATTTCCTCGTAATCTTGGCATCTCGGTAAGACTTCGACTTCATTGGTTTTTTTTTTTTTTTGTTTTACTCAAAATATTATAAGCAAACTTAGTCAATGTTTAACATTTGCCGTTCATTCTAGAAGCATCTTTTTGGTTCTCTAAAATTCAAACATTGAACACACCGTCTTTTCTAGAAAATAAAAAGAGCGAGCATGCCCACGGTTCAGGGTTGATGAGCACGTAATTTAATGCCAATATTTTAAAAATAGCACCAATAGGTAGAACAAAATAACATCAGTACAGACTTGCGTGGTCGTTTCAGACGGGTGTAGGCCCGTTTGTCATGTGCGCATTCGTCATCGGCCAACTGGTAGTCGGCCCGTTAGTCACAGCGCAACATTCGTCATAGGGGAATTTGTCACTAGGAACGTTTGTCACTGTGCGAACCGAATATTCGAACTCGCCCAACTTGTATTCACTTGGCTTTTCATGCAATAAGTAGTAGCACACTACATTTCATTTTTACAGAAGAGAAGGAACATCCAAACAAGTCATCGTTGTACTTAAAAAACATCAATTTTATTGAGCGAGATAAAAACAAATTAAAAAGCGATATTCCAAGCTGCCGCCCTCAAGGTTTCAAGAGTATTGCGACCATCGTAGCGGCTCACAATGATCTGAAGACGCCGGTTGCAGTCGGCGTGCTTCTTCGACCCCTTCAAAGATCTCCTGCCGCCCCCTGCTTGAGCCAGCTTCATCTCTGTCAAGAACTGCTCTGTCTTAATGCAGCCCAGGAACGCCCAGATATTGGGAGAACTGCAGCCCACGTTGCTCTGGCATATAAAAAAAGAACACACACTCGTGGAGAAAGCTTTTTGAGAGGGCACCGTACTGAAATTTTGAGCCACAGAAGCAAAAATGTGCTAAAAAAAACTTCCAAGTTCTCAAAGGATTAGGGCAGTTCTTACCCGCAGTCCCCAATGCCAGGCTTCGATGCTGTTGTTCGTCCTTGGCATTTCTGCTAGTGTTGATTCTCTGGCTGACCAAACCAGAGGAGGGAAGGTGGCTGACGACAAGCCGTTTCGACGGGGTCTCCCGATATACACGTCTTCGAAGTTGTCCGCCACGAGTGAGGCATCGGTGGGGAAAACTTCAGGAAGGTCCTGGAAGGCCTCGGGAATGTCGGCGATTGGCAAGAAGCTGGAAGCATTCTCATCTGAAAATTCACGATAAATAAAGTAACCAATTGGCTTAACTGAAGACCTCCATTTAGAAATCGA